GATGGAACCCAAAAAAAGCGATCACTTCAAGGTAACTAATGAGACGGTATTTAACCATTATATTCAACCATTACGCGACACCTAGCATTAAGCTAGTCTAACTCATTATGTCTAAGCAAGCATACACAATAATGATTAGTTGGATACATTAGGGAGACTTGATAACGTACCATTTGAATATGTCAAGGACCTAACGACAAAAATGCCCAACTGTGTATTGACAACAACTCTTCCATTAAGACTCTTCTTTGAGGATGTCTTGTAGCCTCCCGTTATCGCTACAATCCAACTCTCCTCATATACTACATGACGAATAAGTTTCACACCCACGACCAAGTCGTCTTGCGACAAAACAACGCCTACATGTGTCAGTCGTAGTGCTCACTTCACTGCCAATATTCCTTCTAAGTCAATCACATCTCAAAACGGAAGACATGTTTACATGTTACACAAATACCAATATTTCATCTAAGTAATCACATCAATTTCTTTGGTTAGGTGACTTTGTATAAAGAATTTAGATCAATTTGGTAACAGAAAATAAAACTTTGAATCAAAATTTTAAAAAATAAAAGTTATGTGACATGTAACATGTCATAACAAAATCAATACATCACCTTCATGGTTGTTTACCTCTTGATATGGTAAAATACCCATGTTGGTATTTTAACTACACCGAGCATAGTTCATTGGTATATAGTATAAAGTGTCAACCCTAAGAAAAGTTGTGACTTTGCATATAGAATTTCCACCAGATGAAAGGCAAAGTTTACTTAAGAAGTGTTGAAAGAATTGAAACCAAATAAAAAAGGTACGGTTTATTTTGCTAACCTAAATCGATTTGGTGTTTCGTCAAACAAGTTAATTGAATCCTTATTTCGATCAAGTTTATGGTTCAGATTTTCATCAATCGGTTTAACCAAAGAAACCGGCTAACGATACAATTTTTTTATTTTATTTTAATTTTAGCATCTATAATAATTTAATAATATGTTTCCATAATACCTCATTCTTTTCTATGGGACTGTGAAATTGATATTCATTGGTATTCCATAATATTCCGTTCCTATATATTTGAATGAATTTCTCTTGGAACAATCGAGAAATCTGTTGGGGTGCAAAGTCACTCTTGGATATAGTGTTTTAGGCTTACCCTCTTGTATGTGTAAATGAGTTGAGTCTTTTCTATAAATAGGAAGTGAGTGACTCTCATTAAGTAAAGGAGGATCATTTTGGAGTGTTAGACTAGAGAGAGAAATTTGTACAAACTCATTTGTATATTCTTTCTAGATCTAATATGAGCTTACAAAGACTTATTTACTCTTTGTGTTCTTGATTTTACATGATAATTCACTAGATCTTTCATATTCCGCACATGCCATTATAATCAACACCACTACAATTAGTATCAGAGCGGGTGTTCTTGATTTGATCAAGAATTAATTCTTGATGGCTTTCTAGATTTGATGATTCTTCTTTTTGATCTTTGATCTTCGTGATTTAGAGAGTTTTTGGATTCTAGAAATTGAACTCATCTTTGATTCTATTCATAATTCGATTTTCTTCACTAGAATTCAAGTGATTTTTGTTTTCTCTTTCTAGAAAACCCATTCAAAATCACTTTCTCTAGAAATTTTCAAGTTCTTGTGATCATGGTGAATTTGCGTTATGATTCTTGGGTTGTGATCATTGAAGATGTCAAATACAAAGTCAATGAAGATCAATTTTATGGGTTATTGTTAAGCCGGTTGATTTCCTGGGATACTATGGTTTCTTATGGAGGCTTGAAAGATGATCATGGAATGTTAATTTTTCATCGACTTGGGGAGATTGAATGTTTAATCACAATCACATTGTACATGTTAAATCGTAGTGGAAATCAGAAGGATGGAAAGAAAGAGATTTGTTTAATAAGAAATACATTTCTCTTATTGAAGACTCAAATGATCTTCTTGCTCTTAAGGTTGTTAAAGTTCAAAACAATGCAGTTCAATATGATGTTCTTGATGTTCAAGAAAAAGGAGTTCAAGTTGATTCTCATGATGAAAAAGTTTTTTGCTCGATTGGAGTTCAAACCGATGATATTTTGTGTTCTTGTGATTCGTTTGAAGGAATGATTCCTTATTGGAAGTCGGTGATCCAAGAAATTCACAAGTATCAAACTCCAAAAGATTTGATTCAAATTCACAATGTTGAAGTTGTGGAAAGTGGGTTTGTTCATGAAGTCAAGTCTTCAAGATGCAAAAAGATGAGAAAGAAAAAGAAGAAGAAGATTAATCGCAAACACAAGTGGGTTTACTTACAAAAATCGTCAAATGTTGTGATGCCGAAATCCGTGAAAAAAATTTGGGTTCCAAAGCAACAATCTCCAAAAGGGTGCATTGAATTTGAAGTCAAAACCTAAAAATGTTCGTGGTTATTTTGAAGATGTTCCTGGATCGATGAAGAACACGAAGAACGACTTATAGATCTCGCATAATGGGTGGTACAATGTTAAAATTGGAGATTTTTTCGTTCCGACAAAAGAACCAAGATCTTCTAAATTTGATTCGTTCATTGCAAATGGATATCGATTCGTCAAAAAGAAGGATGAATCAATGTTACTGCTTAAATGGAGGATCTCCAAATGAAGATGTAATAACAAGAATAGAATATTTTGAAAGTCAATATTTGACTTTTAATTGGGTTTGTCAATGATTGAAATCGGAATGATCGATGATTTCGATTTTGGATAAAAAAATTGTATCTCAATTTTGAATTCGATTGAATGCAATTATATGATCGGTGAGAAAATCAATTTGGTGTTCATTGGGGTCTAACAAAAAGTCAAAATTGTTGTTCTTGGTTCAACTTGTACGCACGCTTCACTGAGTTGTACCATTGGATCATCATTGTGTGGCTCTTGAGTTCAATGTTTTAATATCAATTTTTGGTTGTTGATTTGGATTTGAATTCGATTGAAGTCGACTGGTGTTGGTCGCTAGTTCACTTTGGAAGTCAAAATCAGCGTTCTTGATAAATCAAACTCGAAATTGAAAGTTAAACTGGGTTTGAAATCGAAATGGTTGGAGTCGACTGAATTTTGACTATTGTCGATTGTTGAATTTGATTTCGATTCCTGGAAATCGAAGGTTTGATATTGAGATTTCGAATGGATTCCAGTCATTTATGATGTTAAAAATGAAATCAATTTGGTTTAATTTTGCGTCAAGTTCTTCATTCGCATCTGTAATTGTGGTTTGAAGACCTGTGAAGATTTGGAGTTCTATTGGAATCGATTGGAGTCAAATTTGTATTAAATCGGAAGTCAAATTTGAAATTCGATTCAGCAGGTTGTTGATGTCAACATCAGTAGTCTATTTTCAGAGGCTTTGAGATTCAAAGGGTCGATGTTCATTTGTTGATTGGTATCGACTGAAAAGTGAAGTCGATTTGGGTTTGATTTAGAATGTTTAGGATGATATCAATGACTTGGATTGTTTTGGTATCGATAGAGAAGGCTGAGTTTTGGGTCAAATGATTCAAATCAGTTTCATTAAAGACAAGATGAAAGCATTTGTTGATGTCTTTTGTGAAGCATTCACTATTTGGGGAAGAACACAAAGAGTTTCAGTTTGCACCGTTGGACTTTCAACAAAATGGCAGAAAAGGTCCAGATTCGAAATGGGAGTAAAAGTGATGATGTAACCTGAATTTTCGCATTGAGTCCCTGATGTTTCAAAATGTTGGAAAAAAAACCCAAATTTGAAATTTGGATAAAAAAAATCTGAGAAATTGAAGAATTTACACTTTCTACCCAATTTCGCAAATCGTGAGTGTTTCGCATATTTGGTTGTTTTTGGCCCAACGGTTCATGCATAATTCTTTTACTGATAGTTTTTACCAAGATTTTGGAATATCTTTCAACTTTCACCCAAAAAGTCAAAATTTTTCACAAATTTGGAAATTTTTTGAGGCTTTTTCGTGATTGTTTTTCCGTGCAAGTTTTTTTGTGATTCATTTTTGGTACACATCTAGGGGGAGTAGTGTGAAGTTTATTCCTTGGGCGCTTCTCACCCTAAGTGGGTTTTATAATCATTCTTTTATTATAAAAAGGGGGAGAATGATGGGTATTTGAAGCGAGTTTGTCAGATATTCATTTGCGGATTTGAAGACCAGTGTTACTTCGAGGGGGAGTTTGGTCTTGATTGCGCTAGCTCGTTGGAGACTGAAGTCGGGACATCAAATCCTAACTTTGAGGGGGGAGAATGTTAGGGTGAAAAGTCACTCTTGGATGTAGTGTTTTAGGCTTACCCTCTTGTATGTGTAAATGGGTTGAATCTTTCCTATAAATAGGAAGTGAGTGACTCCCATTAAGTAAAGGAGGATCATTTTGCAGTGTTAGACTAGAGAGAGAAATTTGTACAAACCCATTTGTATATTCTTTCTAGATATAATATGAGCTTAAAAAGATTTATTTACTCCTTGTGTTCTTGATTTTACATGATGATTCACTAGATCTTTCATATTCCGCACATGCCATCATAATCAACACCACTACAAAATCTGAATGCGAATTTTCGTGATATAATATTAATAGTGGTGTATATATAATAACAAAATGTTGTTTTTTGAAATATTCATCATTATTTTATAATTTATTACCACACCATTATCCCCGAATAATTAGTTTAAAGGAATGTTTTTTTCTACAATATGAATATTGTATCCAAATAATATATGTGTATTTATTGCATGATGGTAGCATAAAAAGTAAAGGCAAAGTGTACTGCTATGGTCTTAGATTTTGCATATAGATATCAAATACTAAAGGAAGCAAAATTATTCTTTTACATCCTGTTTCCAAATTTTTGTACACAAAAAAATGAACCACGAGTAGACGAAAATCCGGTGAAGAAAGCAAGCATCAGTGACGGAAAAAAGATGAAACGACGTTCTTTATATCGGATGTTCCTGATAACGCAAAGAAGATGGAGCTATGAAGAAGATTCGCAACATACATGGAGATATTCGATGTGTATACGGGGACAAAGAAGAGATGGAACGGACAGAACTTTGCATTCATCCGCATCAAAAGAGTAAGAGACATCATTGGGTTAGAAGAGAAAGTCAATTGTATCACATACAACGAGAAGAAACTAATGGTGAACGTATCCACCCAACTTAGGAAGATGTCCCCACAGAGGATAAATAAACACCAAGTTAAACAACCAATGAGACCCAACCCTAAACCTGGAGTTAGAGATCAACGTTCCTATGCAGCAGATGTAACCAAATCTACCCCCCCCCCCCCCCCTCACCACCGACAACTGCACCGGAGCCACCAATACTTCTCAAATAGGAATCTATGACGTACTCATGGCATAGAAAAACTAATCTCATTGTTGAAGCCATCTCCCTCTAGCGCTCGGGGCATTTCCCCAAGCTCCTACTTTCCAAAGAAGGGCAAGTTCTCGAAATCAAGTACATTGGAGGTTTAAAAGTGTTACTCAGGTTTGATAGCTCAATTGAGGCTAGGAGTTTTATGGAAAATAAGCAAATATGGGTTGAGAACTTAAAATGGGTTAAATCGGGAGAAATCCTGGAGAAATTTTTTGAACGAGTTGCATGGGTGAGAATAGTGGGGCTACTATTGAAACTTTGGGGAGAAAAGAACTTTGAAGACATCTGTCGGAAGTTTGAGAAGACAATTGCTCCATATGATGATGTGTATCATATGCTGGATATGTCTTGCGTTAAAGTAGGCATCATTACAACAAGGAGAATTAGGATCAATGAAGAAATCGTGGTAGCCACTGAAGACCAGAGATTCAAGGTTTGGGTATTTGAATTCGATGAGGATCGATTCCCATTTCATTTTGGTTCATCAAAAAACTTCTATGAAGGGCAATACAGTGATGATGATGAGGAAAACTCAGAGGATAAAGGAGGGATATCTGAAACAAGGATGGAAGAAGAAGATGATGAGCTAGGAGAAGGAGAGATCCTAAAAGAAAACCATAAGGATATTAACAGAGTTGTGGAAATCTTGGAGGATCGTCGAAAGCAGTTGCCAGAGAAATTACATATTGTTACCGGAGTTGACAAGGGTCCAACAGTACCCCCTAGTTAAACTAAGGAAGAGCAAAGGACACATGGAAATGGAATGTTGCATGGAAATAATACATATATTGGGAATATGAGTAAATTGAATGAAAACCACCAAAGAACCCCTCTTACCTATCGAGTGAATGTAGATGACACATATAAAGTAAAGGTACCCCTCACGTGTGTCGGTACATCTGAATTAGTTGGTCAGCAAATTCAATACGGATGCTTTGGGCCATTCCCTTCCCATTGCCATAAGGCCCAACCCGAGATTATGGACCAAATAAATGTTATGGGCTCAGCTGCAACAAAAAGAAAGAATAATAGTCCTAGAACCATAGGCCATCCCTCCAATCCTCAAATTACCACGCCCTCTTCATTGATCCCTCAGTTAACCTCCCAGCTATGATATTCATTCGCCGTCCCATGATAATGAAAGAGAAGCTCCGTCGATTGAACTTAGCAAAAACGTGGATGATGTGCGATCCCCTAATGGTGCTGAAGACTGTAGCTCCCCTAACTCAGAAGCAGAGAGAACAATCAAAATCGGTAGGCAAATCGGATTTGAAATTGAAAAGGAAAATCCGGTCTTTCAGGAAGCTATGGGTGAATTCGGAGAGATAAATGTTCCACAATGAACAACTTGAGTTTAAATGTGTGGGGTATTGGTGAATACCATAAAGTCACCTGGGTAAGAAGACTCAAGAAAAGATATAAGGTCTCATTTTTTGGGATAGAATATGTGACATCCAGGAATTTAGGACATAAACTATGAACGACTAAATTACGGGAAAAGTTGTTTGTGATCTAACTCATTTGTTTTTTATTTTGTCTAAGGAAATATAAACAATTTCAATTCCATTTTATATGTTACCAGCCGATACTTTGCTCCCAAATGTGTGAATCGACAAACAAATCAAACCACTCAAACTACAATGTTAATTACTGTGTCTGAAAAACTAAAACTTTTCATTAAGCGGATTTGAGTAAAGAAAACATTAAAATATGATAGAATATGTTTTCCTGTTTTCGAATATATAAAGAACGTCCAAAACAGAGTTTGTATGCAAAATATACGATAGTTTTAAAAAAATAAAACCGATATAACACTGATTTTACCTGTTTTAAGTAAACTATGTCACATTGTTGAGGTACTAAAGCATTGCCGACAAGATTTATGAGAGCATTTTGGAATCAGACTATAGTCTATTATTTAATTTCATACTCGAAATATCTTTAGTCAAAATATTTACAAAAGTCGCGAAAACGGACACCATGATCCGTTTAGACACAAAACTTCAAACGCGATTTCTCGGAGTTTCGTAACCCCAAAATTAATATGTTTGAATTTTTGAAATCCTTGAATTAAATCCAATCGATCAGTATCTTCGAAAAATTTTCTCGACACCCGGATCCCGATGCACTCAACTATGGTACCAATAAGCCATTAATGAGGGTACAACCATTCAATGGGACCCACTAGATTTGGGAAGGACAAATTTTCAGCCATTCCTTGAGATCTACCCACGTGAGTTTTCCCCCATCTCTCTTTTGCTTTTGCTTGCACTCTATCCTAAAGTACATGAATAGTACCTTATTTGACTTAGAGAGCATGGCCTCTTTGGCCAGGGGGTGTTGCCTCCTACTATAAATAGAGATCACCTCCTCACCAACTCACCTCTCTCTTTTTCCCCTCTTAAATCTCTCTCAGTTCTTCCTATCCCATAACTTTCTTCCTTCTTTCTCTCTCTAAAATCCCAAGTCTTGCAAATCTCTCTTAAATCTCTCCTAAATCTCTCTCAAGTCTTGTAAATCTCTCTCCCAATCCCTCTCAGTAACCAACCTACAAAATGATTCCATTATCCTAAATCACTCTTCACCACACTTACAACGTCTTACTTAAACACCCATATCATCCTAAACCTTATTTTTGTTGAAATCAACTCAAAACAGGAGTAGAAAACCGAAAACAACAAGTCAACTTTGGAATTCCCTTCATCAATTTCAAAACTATTCATTTTTGGAAGTCTACTCACTTCGGATCCTCTTCTACCTTAGATTTTCCTCTTTCATTTCGAAATTTAGTCACTTCGGAATTCCCTTCTGCTTTGAAATTCGACTTCGAAATTTGGTTAGTTTTAGATTTTCCATCTTGGAATTCGACTTCAGATTTTTGGCAGTTTCAGATCTATCAGTCTCGGTGCTTCGACTTCAAAATTTCCAACAGGTTCAGATTTTTCCTCATCTTGGACCATACTAACTTCGGACCTTCTAACTTCGGAACTCACTACTAGTTTCGGATTTTTCCAACTTTAGGTCATTTTTCACCTTGGATTTCTATAACCTCGAAATTTCAACGAGTCTCGGATCTTTTGCACCTCGGAATTTTTACCAGTTTGGATGTCTCCCGTCATCATAGAAGTCTCATACCACCTCTCATATCATCAAAATTAAGCTAATCTCGGAAATCCAAATCCAAAACAACACTTTCCATTTCTCGCTTCTAATAGTCGGAACTTCATAAACGTACATTAAGGTGAGAGTTATGACCCCTCTTGTAACATCCTGAGATTGTGCAGGTATTTCCAAACCCTCTTCTATCACTACTTTGTCATTTGTAGTCCTTGGGGTTGGAAGTGTAGAGCCAAGACAAGTATAAGCACCAAGGTTGTAACCTTGGGTCAAGGAGGAGTCCGCTGAGCGTACATAAGAATACGCTAAGCGTACTAAGGTCCACCTTACCATGCTGGGTGTACTTATGTTAGGATGAAACCCTAATATTTAGGGTTTGGGGGCTATATAATCAACATTATGAGCATAAAACCCTCCCTTACCCCCACCTCCACTGCTTAGAGTCATTTTCCCCAAACCCTAGCCATTTCCTTGAGTGTTTGAGCTTATTGAGTGTTTTAAGAAGAAGGTGTTGCATCAAGGACCTGGAGAAGAAGATCAAGCTTGTAGATCTGAAGTTGGTTTGTGCCTTAGAAGCTCCAGAAGGTAAAAAGCTTCAAACTTTATGCATATATGCATAGATCTTGCCATTTTTTATTTAAAGAACCATTTCTTGTCCTAAAAAGTCACAAGATGGTGCATGATGTGATTTGGATGAAATGAACTGTCCTTCTAGACTCCTAAAGGGGTTTTGAGTGATAAAAATGAGGTCCCAATGGCTTAATATGTCCCATGCATGGAGTAGGAAGGTCTTAGTGGATTAAAACCAAGTATTAAGAGATTTATGGATGTCCAAAGTGATAAAGTTCATGACTTTATGGGTCCTAGGCACATTTGGTCACTGGATCTAAAGTTTGGGCTTAAGTGCTTAAGCCATTAAGCACTTATTCAGATTTTGGCAAACCACTACGTACGCCTAACGTAAATCCAATACGCCCAACATACTCGGTCAACTACCCTGATGGTGGTCAACATCAAGATGAGTACGCACAACGTACCAGAGGAGTACGCCCCGTGTACGTCCTTTGGTGGGCCTTTGACAATTGGGCTTCAAGTTTTGAGCTGTTTATGGACTAGTTGGATTTGGACCTTTGTTGGACTTTATGAATATAATGTTTTGGGCCAAGTTTTGATAATTGATCTTGGAATTAGGAATAATTAGGGAGTTGGGCCCAATTTGGTAAATTGGGCCAATAATAGGCTTTGCATAAGGACTTTCAAGATTATGGATTTGGCATTGGGTGTTGGCCCAATAAAGACAATGGACATGATGGATTGTGTGGGCCCTTAGTCAAGATTGTTATGTTGTGTAATGACTTGGTATTTATTATGTGATAGCTCGGGATTCCCGGTGAGACAACGATCAGAGGTTTTCGATACTTGGACACTACTTGCGAGGTGAGTTATCATCACTATACTAAGGGGTCTAAGGCACCAAGTCCGGTCCATTGGATATTATATCCTAGGAGTTGGTAGTATGTTGAGTTTGAGTTAGTGTTGCATGCTAGTTGCTATGCCAGTTAGGTAGATCTGTAGGACTACCTGTAGTATTATGTGATTATCTGTATGCACATTTGTTATGTTATATGTCGAAATAGTATATGGGATGGGTTGAGGTGATACTGCTTCGTGCGGTAACCAACAAACCTAGGAGCAATCACGATACGAGCTGAGGGCCAGATGAAGCATGCCAGACACGTACGGTGGGCTCAGGAGCATTCCAGATACAAGCTAAGGGAGAATCGTACTGTGGGATCGATGGTAATCCAGATGTGAGCTGTGGGCCCGGAAGGCAATCCAGTCTCACAATGTGGGCCCAAGGGTAATCCAGTCTGTAAAGCTGTGGAGCCAGTACATCCTGTTATTTGTATATGTGTTATGTGTAGTGTATTGGTATTTTGGGGGAACTCAGTAAGCCTCTGGCTTATAGTTTCAGTTTATTGTTTCAGGTACAAAGGGGATCATGGAAAGGCAAATTTGTGATCGTACAACTCCACATATTTATGTTTATGTTTCTGGGATACTCTGATATTATACATTTTGAAAACAAGATTTTGTAATGGTTGATGGTTTTGAAATATTTCTAAAAGTTGAAATTTGGCATGATTTTTATGGGTGTTACACCTCTTTTATATTTATTCATTTGGGGGAGAATACATGTGCTATATAGTATTTATTATACAAATACATAAGTTTTATATGATATGCATGCTACCAGTTACAGTATTTCAAATGTTTCAAAGACTGCAACCTAAAAATACTTTTATGCATAAGACTTTACACATATATATAAGATATTACATTGAAATACATTTCCCTATAAAAGTAAGTAATTTATACCTTTATAAATACGTTAACCATACTCAACTTTCATTAACGTTATACTATGAAATTCATTACATGAGTACTTTTATGCATAACTCTTTACACACATATACAAGATCGTTACGTTGAAATACATTTCTTTATAAAAGTGAGTAATTTATAGTTTTATAAACACGTCAACCATACTCGGCTTTTATGAACGTTATACTACGAAATTCATTATGCCTGCTACTTAACTATAATCAGTGT